CCCTTGTTCCGTTGCGCTGCTAGTTTGGCCGCCTTTGCACGTTGGCATTAAGTTGGCAGCGCCCCGCTCCACACGGCGCCAAAACATTGAAGTGCCGCTTGCTCCGCTTCAAGTTGGCAGTTCGTGACATTAAACTGACATTTTACTACCGCACTTTGCTGTCATGCCATGCCACCGCTTTTATGGCAATACACCTAACTACACAAAGCGCTTATCACTGTGTGTTCGTGTGTGTGTGTGTGTCGTAGATAGGCGTAAACTCTCGTCGCACACGTGCTTTGTCCGTTGCTTCGTTATGTGCCTTGGCCTCATATCCTGCTGCAGTTGTGTAATTTTTCACTTTTCTTCTACTTGTTATTGTAATTGTTGCTATTGTTGTAGCATGCACATAAGATACACGGCAGCTCGTGACTTGGTTCGGTGCTCGTTGTCTTGTAATTAAAGATGGCTGCCAACACGGCTCCATCTTAAGTCATCTTGCGCCACTGTTGCTCACCTTAAGATTTCATGGCGCATTTTTGAACAAATTCGTTGACAACCAAAACTCAGCGGTTGTCAAATTTATAACGGTGATTAAAATACTAGAAGAACTGTCAAACTCGTTTTTGTCGGCAACAATCTTACAGTTAGCCTTGACGGGTGGACGAAAATTTGATTATACTTATTGAGGAATGGCAATTGAAACTAAGCATCTTGTCCATACTTTTGATATGCCGAATGCTAAGCGTATAGCCGTAAAGATTATCAGAAATTCCTTTTTAACTATACTCTAGTTTATTTACTAGTTAACTGTAGCTGTAGCTAAGTTTATCAACTCTAGTCTTTCTAGACAATTTACAGGTTTTTCCATCCTAACGACATGTGTTAGCCATCATAGCAATGCCAACTTATGCAGTATTCCGCTCTTCTTCTTCTTCTTTGTTGGCGTGGGCATCGCTTCTTTGCGCCAATTGAAGACTCCAAGTGTAGCCCGTTTTTTCTGCACCTGGTCTTTCTAACGGATTAGAGTTATTTCTCGCCAAATACTCTCAGCAATATGAATTCGTTCCAAAATCTGATATGCGGGGATAGCCCTAGACTTGCTCACTGTATAATCGAAGCTAGTTAAACGAGTTCTAGAACTCAGTAACAATTGGGAGAACTGGAGTCTTGGTGGCAACTATATTACTGGTAGTGTGGTGTGAATAATYTCAATTAACTAGGGGCCTAAAAAGCTTCTTGTGCTCAGCAAGTTAACCTTTTCCTATAGGTAGGATATAGAGAACAAAAACAAATATTAATCATAGRAAGTTATTTTAATCSTTTTYAAATAATCTCTATTGTCAAAGCACTTTTGCCTCTCTGACTGAGGTATCTTCTGAATGGATCAGCCACCTCTTCAAATGTCGAAAAATGTTGATCTCTTTGTTTATTTTTCAGGATTGAGAATTAAGAGAACTGATTTGGTGACAAGTCAGGTCTTTACGGTGCATGGCTCATTAAATCGCTATTTTTGATGAAGAGTGATATTTGTGGTGAAGAGTGATCTGTCTTCGGTGGTTGCTTTTCCTGATGTCTTGAGAGGCATCAATAGTKTTCGGAGCAACAACTGATTTTGTACGTCCAAGGCGTGATCAACGGCCTCGATTGAATTCACCACATTATCGATAAACACTGGTTCTTGTTGTGGAGATTCATCGAAAATTAAATTAAGTTCATCGATGCACTGTTGATGAGTTAATCGACGTCAAAAGTTGTAAAAAATAATCGGGCAAACGTTTTCGCAATTTAATTTCATTTTATTGTCAAGATGAATAGGGGTTCTGATAGAACTTTGCCTAACCGACACTCATCCAATAAAACCACCAATTTCAATTGATACACCCGTGTTGAAGTTGGTTGGAAGAGAGCAAGGTTAAATGATGCCTGCTACATCAAAGTCGCATTTTTGCAATGAAAAGCTTGGAGCAATTTGCGTTCACTTCATAAGCCATCATGGAAAACTTTCTAGTATCGAAACAAGTATACCAAGAAGATTTGTAAKAAGCTCAAGACATTTCATCCTGATCGAATGGTGTTAAGTCAGAGCATCTAAGAGGCCAATTCTTATCATCAAAATTAGAGAGTACATGACCTGAAAATGTCTCATGAARTAATTGAAGTGTTTCACAGGCTGTATGACATGTGGCACTATTTCGTGAAACGACATATTGGTCACGAACAGGGTTATCATGTCGCCAGCCAGCAGCAAACACTGCTTGTTCAGCCTCATAAAAAAGTAAGGTCTAATTAATGACAAATTTCACCGATCAAGGTGAAAATATCTACATGGCTTAGTATGTCTCGCTCAAAAAATTTACGAAATGTGAAATATTTGTCAATAATGAAGGCAC